GACACTGTGACCATCATAAATATGAATCAGTTGCTAAGCATCTGAATCTAAATCACAAGACCCTGGTGATGCTGCAACATTCCAGCTGATCGGCACTTCTTCTGGGCTCAGCAGGATCAGTGCTACTTTCCACGTGATCGGCGCTTCTTCTGGGCTCAGCAGACGCACCGGGATCAGTGCCGCTTTCCAGGTGATCGACGCTTCTTCTGGACTCAGCAGACGCGCCGGGATCAGTGCCGCTTTCCACGTGATCGGCGCTTCTTCTGGGCTCAGCAGACGCACCGGGATCAGTGCCGCTTTCCAGGTGATCGACGCTTCTTCTGGACTCAGCAGACGCGCCGGGATCAGTGCCGCTTTCCAGGTGATCGGTGCTTCTTCTGGGCTCAGCAGATGCGCCGGGATCAGTGCCGCTTTCCAGGTGATCGGCGCTTCTTCTGGGCTCAGCAGATGCGCCGGAATCAGTGCCGCTTTCCAGATGATTGGCGCTTCTTCGGGGCTCAGCAGAAGCACCAGGACCAGCGCCAAGCTCCAGCTGGAGCCTGGCACTGATCCTGGCGCTTCCACTGAGCCCTGACAGTCCTGAAGAAGTACTGATCAGCTGGAAAGTGGCACTGATCCTGGCATTTCCGCTGAGCCCTGACAGCCCTGCAGCTCCAGCCATCTCTCGCTCAGGCTTGTGCGGTGCTGCCGCCAGTTCAACTGATTCCCCTTCCCCGCTACCACTTTTCTAGGATGGTTGCATACCACCTGCCAATGTACCACAGGTGGTATCACCTGTTGAAAAGCCCTGTTCTAGACATACCTAGTTCTTTTAACCATTCCTCATACATTTATCCTACAGACCCTTATCTTGTTAGTTGCTCTTCTCTAAGGTCTCAGAATCTTTTTTTTATCATAGTGACCAGAATTGGAAGCGGTATTCCAAGAGTGGCATCACTAGTGCAATATAAAGCGGTCCTATCACTTTTTGTGATCTTGATGCTATCCCTCTGTTCATGTAGTTACTACTGTTGAGCCAGGTACTTTCCATTCTATTATTCTATGATTTTATTATTATATTATGGTAAAGATTTATTTTAAAGAAAAATCATTTTTGGCGTCTCCTTGTTCCAGATTGTAACCTATGATAAATATGAAAGCACAGCCCCAAAGATACTTTTTCACGAGGCAACTGTACTTTCTTGTTTTTCTTTGAAGACATTTCACTTCTCATCCAAGAAGCTTCTTCAGCTTGAAGAAGTACAGATACCAAAATCTGATACCTGATTTAATAAACTACTGCCCTATCAAAAGTCAAAGTAAATCAACAAAAGGGTAACAATTGCCTATCTGGATTCTGAGAAAACAGAAATACATACTGTGATAATTGAAGCAAGAGGATGAGATTGATTATTAGTTTATGGTATATACATACTTTCCATATTAGTCCCTTTCAGGAAAAGCAACATTATGCAACATGCAGAAAGAATGTGAAAAGTAGTAAACAAACAAAACAAGGTAAGAGAGAGAAGAAAGTATTATGTTGGTGATACAATCAATCAAATATTTAGACTGAATTTGGCATTCTTATCGACTATCAAATCCTTACCAAGGACTTAGGCTAGGCAGATGTTGTTGATAGATAGTATTAAAGATAATCCCAGGATATAAACTATTCTAGGTAAATGTGCCTTTTGCAAATAACTAAAGGTGATTTTGTCAGTGCTAATGGCATTCAAGGGCTGCTTCTGATATTTTGGGATTATATTCAAGACACCTATTACTATTGATACTACCTTTGCTTTCTATTACCTTTGCTTTACTTTCCCTTTGCTTTCTACTTCTATTTGCAGGTCCTTATATTTTGTGATTTTCTCCAGTTCTTTCTACTTTATTCTGCTGCAACGTCCACCATCCAGACTTTTTTGTCTTTCTTATTGACAGCTGTTAATTCTGGACTGTTATGTGGCAAATACTTCTCTGTTTGAATTCTAAAGTCCCGGCACACATCAGCTTCTTCATTTTCTATTATTTCGTCTATCACCATTCTTGCTTGCAGGGAAATGTATTTCTTGAGGATATTCCAATATAGTAGGAATGCTGGTAGGAGGGAAAACAGAGCAATATTGCTCTAGAAATATTGTATCTCTCTTCCCCCATTATTGGCTCAATTGCAATGTAGTTGCCCCCTCACTCTTCTAAATCAGATTACCAGATCAATAAAATAGTGAAAGTAAACAAGGATTCTAGCCAGAGTATTGTCCTGAAAAATAAATATAAATTCTGACCAGTTTATTCAAGACATAGAATCAAGGCTCTTCACTGGGATGCCACACAATTGCCAATGATTGGGGCAATTATCTTTTTTATTGGAGAAAGATATTGGAGGGTTTCACAAAGAATAATAATTATCTGCCTGCCTCTGTTTCTGTCATTGTGCAATGGCCAACAGACTTCCTGAAATCCCCTTATAATTCAGGAATAACTTAGCTTTTTTAAATTAAGTTACTTCATTTCTATCTTGTATTATATAATTTTGTTCTTGTGTTTTTGCAGCTCGGAATGCATACATAGATAAAGTCTCTAATATATGATCATAGGACAATAAATTTTAGCACTGTTCCAACATATTTTATAATGATTGATGGAATAAGATTTTTTTCTTCAAGTTCTGCTGTAATGAGATTTGATTCTAGAAAAATAATTTTATTTCTAGAAAGCAACATTTGAATTAAGAAGAAAAGTCCCTTTGGTACTAAAGAATATTTTCCTTATAAAGATATTGAACGTGTCTGTTATATTAAACTTTGTTCAAACTGCTCAAGATTATGTTTGTATGGTATCAACTATCCCTCCCAAATTAGAGAAGCATTTTCCTCATTTAGTTATTCAAATTATTTATGAGGATACCTCTATAAGTGCTCTTTGAGTATGCTTTTTAAACTGCATTTTTTGTGCCTTCAATTCAGTCTTGACTCCTAGTAACTGCCTGGACTTGTGTTTATAGTTTTCTTTGCAAGATATCAGAAGTGGTTTGCCACTGCCTTCTTTTTAGGACTGGGAGAGAATGACTGGCCAGATCACCCAACTGGCTTTTTGCCTAAGGCAGGATTAGTATTCACAGTCTCCTGCTTTCTAACCTAGTGTCTTTACCACTACACCCATCAAACTGATTCTCATCTGTGGATGTACTTAATAATTATTCCACTTAGTTTGTTGATGAGAATATCATGGGATGTTTTGTCAAATGTGTTGTTGAAATGATTGTGTCACCATTCCTACAATCTTTTCTGGACATGAGACAAGAGTTATTTTAATAAATCTATGCTGATCTCTAAAAAATCACTGCATTGTTAAGTTATCTGTTTTATAATATGCTCTGATGGTGCGAATATAAGAACAAACCTGCTGTATCAGATTCATGATCATAGTCCAGCATTTATTTGTCACAATGGACAACCAGATGCAGGAGATGAAGCTAAGACCCCCATCAGTGTATAATATATTAATTTATTTTAATATTGGCAATTGTTTTCTTCTTCTGTGACTATTGATCTACCTCACATGGTTATATGTACAATATGCTTAAAATTAAAGAATGCTAAATATGTTGTCTGACACTGAATAGTTCCTTTTTTTTACAATTTCAAAGAAAACAGTTGTTTTTTGTATTATTATATTTGAATATGTTGAATATGAATATGACAGGGCTCATGTCAATTTGGTACATAATTTTGAGCAATATTTCACTGTTACCCAATTGATAGATAATTTTATAACAACTGTATTACTTCTCTGACTATGATTAGATATGCTACAAAGCCCATTTGAATGCTTTTACTTTTTCTTGAAAGTATTCGTTAAGGTATAAAAATAATAATTTTTCTTTTACATTTTACATGTTGCACAACTGTATCTGGATGGCACAATTACAGTAAGCTAGTCTCCTGGAAAAAAAAGTGCCTCTAATTTGCAAGAATGTTTAATACTGCTTAAATATCATGATGGAAAAAGTATCTCAGCTTGAGCTTTAAGCAGTTAACATAAATTACTTTTTGGTGCCATTTCATTTTATTATGCATAAGAATATTTGCTTATAGGCATATTTATATTCTGTATTATCAATACCAAAGCACTCCTTTTCACAGAGAATTTTTAAGAAACCCTAAAAGAACATACATTCACATGTGTGAGTGTTATGTTTATGCCTGCAAAAATTAGGCAAGTGATTACCATGAAGATTAACTAATCCTTTCCTTTAAGAGTGGGAAAATGTACATTGGTTGAAAATGTTAGGGAAGAACCACGATTTTACACTAACATCAAACCCTTAATTTTGATTTATTATTATCATTCAGGTGGATAACTGATTATTAATTCAATAATTATATGTAGTATTTTTGGGAGATGCTTATAACACTCTGGTATTTGTAACAAGAAATATGCCTGGCCATTTCAGAATTAATATAACAACACTACTCCATTTCAATAAAAAAAAGGTATCTTAAAGCGATACTGTACCAAATTAAGAGAAATTTAATAGAACTGGAAATTAATATTATCTTACTATATGAGAATTTGGCTGTCTGATAGTTTGGACATCAAATCCAATTAGTGTTGCAACAATTATTTTCATACTATTGTACAAAAAGAGGAAAAACAATATTTTCCCCATATACACTTACTCTGAAAAACCATGTCCCTCTTTCTGTTTTCTGGATGGATGAAAAGCCTTTTCTGCAGTTCTCTGTCTGAGCCTCAGAGTGCTGCTGTTGCCCAAGATGATAGCCTGGGAGAGCATAGAGATTGAAAGAAGACCTCCTAACCTGAGCAGCTCCCATCACTGCTGTGTAGGATAGAAGAAAATGAAAAGCAAAAAACCACACTGTTGCAAGTGGAGAAAAAAATAAATTTAGGAAAAAGGCAATTACTATTTCTACTGATATTTTTTTCAATCCCAAGAGAACTGGTCAGATCACAAGAAGCTGGAAAAAAGAAACGGCCTGATGTGGGAAAGACTGATGGAGAGAAGACACAGAAGGAATCTTAGGGCGCTCTCAAGGCAAGTACTGCTTCTCCTGATTTTGTCATCCATCCACCAAACTACTGCAGAACAAATTCATTATTCCATACCTGAGGAAATGTCACAGGGTTCCATAGTAGGAAATCTTGCCAAGGAATTGGGATTAAATGAAAAAGAATTAAAATATCATAAACTACATTCTGTATCTTTGGATAAAAAGCAGTTTTTGATGATCAATGCAGACAGTGGAAATCTTTATGTAAATGGCAGGATAGATAGAGAAGGAATCTGTGGGAAAAGTCTTCTGTGTCTTGTTAACTTAGAAGCTGTGATGGAAAACCCTCAAAATGTTTTCCATATATCAGTGACAATCCAGGATATTAATGATAATGCACCCAAATTCCTCAATGACAATATCATCTTGGAAACTAGTGAACTAACTTTGCCAGGTACAAGATTTCAGGTAGGGAAAGCAGAAGATCCAGATGTTGGCCTCAATTCTGTCCAAAATTACATACTGAGTCCAAATAAACATTTTGCACTGGAAATTAGAGCGAGAAAAGATGAACTTAAATATGCAGAACTGGTGCTGCAGAAACCCCTCGATCGGGAAAGCGAACAGAGCCTTCATTTGATCCTTACAGCCCTGGATGGAGGTGAACCAAGGAAAACTGGAACTGCCCATATATGGATTAATGTTACTGATGCCAATGACAACCCACCCATTTTCACTCAAGATACATATACAGTTAATTTGAAAGAAAATGTTCCAGTTGGATCCCTTGTGCTTCAGGTGGAAGCCTCTGATAAAGATGATGGGACAAATGCCCAAATCACATATCATTTCACCAATTTACCACCTACCACTGAACAAAAATTCAGATTGGATTCAATTAAAGGGACTATTTATCTCACTGAGTTGCTGGACTTTGAAGAAACAGAAGAATATACAATATCAGTTGCAGCAAAAGATGGAGGTGGATTGGTGACACATTGTAATGTTGAAATAAAAATTTCAGATGAAAATGACAACATTCCAGAAATACAGTTAGCTTCTATGTTTAATCCAATTCCTGAAGACTCTGATTCTGGAAACTTAATTGCTCTTATAAATGTTAAAGACAGAGACATTGGTGATAATGGAGAGGTTACTTGTTACTTGCAAAGTAATTTGCCATTCAAGATTGTTCCATCATCTAAAAATTACTACAAGCTCATGACAGACAGACCTCTGGACAGAGAAAAAGCATCTCAGTATAATATTACAATCACAGCCACTGACAAGGGAACTCCTCCATTAAGCACAAACAAAACCATCTTGCTGCAGATCTCTGATATCAATGACAATGCCCCTGCTTTTGAGAAAGTGTCCTACAGCATCTACGTGCCAGAGAACAATCCTTCTGGTGCCTCCATCTTCCAGATTCAAGCCTTTGATCCGGATGTGGATCAAAACTCACACGTCACATATTCAATCCTCACCAGCAACATAGAAGAACTTCCCATCTCCTCCTATATCTCCATTCATTCTGAGACCGGCACCATCTACGCCCAGCGATCCTTTGACTATGAGCAGTTCAGGGAATTTCAGCTGCAGGTGAAGGCCCAAGATGGTGGGAGTCCCTCTCTCAGCAGCAACGTCACAGTCAGGGTGTTTATCCTGGATCGGAATGATAACAGCCCTCAAATCCTGTCCCCTTCACCAGACTCCAAGGACTCTGCCTTCTTTGAGATGGTCCCTCGTTCAGCCGAGGCAGATTATCTGGTAACAAAAGTGGTGGCCGTGGATGCTGATTCCGGACACAACGCCTGGCTCTCCTACCAGCTGATTCAAGCCACAGAACCGGCCCTCTTCACTGTTGGCTCCCATACGGGTGAGATCAGGACAGCAAGAACCTTTATGGAGAGAGATGTCGTGAAACAAAGACTGGTTCTTCTGGTGAAGGATAATGGACGGCCGCCCCTCTCAGCCTCTGTCACTCTGAACCTGGTGTTTGCTGAGAACTTCCAGGAGGCCCTTCCGGAGATGAAAAACCAGATGAAAAACTCAGAGGATCAGTCGGACCTGCAGTTCTATTTGGTGGTGGCCTTAGCTGTGATGTCATTTTTATTCCTCTTGTCAGTGATTCTGGCCATTGCCATCAAACTCCGGCAGTCAGGGAGTCCCAGATTCCTACAGTGTTTGGGTCCTGTTCCCCATTCCACAACTGGAGTCATATTTCCACCCAATTTTGAAGATGGGACTCTGCCTTACTCCTATCAGCTTTGTCTCTCCTCAGAATCCAAGAAGAACGAATGTACTTTTCTGACACCTAATGTTCACGTTGCAGGCAATATTCTTAGTGGTGAGAAATCCAATGCACTTTTCACAGGAACTGCAGAAAAGAATTTAATTTCCAAAATAACAGATAAGGTAAGGCTTCTTCAGGAATTATTTGCATAATTTGTTTTTATAACTATAATTGAAATACTAACTTTCAAAATAATTCCCTTTTTTTACTGCTTTTTCTTGAATGGTAAGAAATTTAGACAATATAATTTATGTAAATAATATTTTTGCCCCACAATTCGTTGATTTAAATACTAGACCACATAGAGTTGTGGCTGAATACTTTTTAAGTACTGAACCTAAGTTTCTTTGTTGATCAGCCTGCTTTCTAAAATAGTGTTTGACATTTGTGAAATCAAATTATTTCGATACTCATATGAATTGTGAGAAGTAGCTGTCCTGCGTATTTAACTGGTTTTCAGAGGACCTTTCAGAAGAATAATTTGGGGTTCCAAATCAAACTGGGGCTTCACAAGAATAAATAAAAATGAGATTCAGACAGCTGTGAGAAAAGAAGAAATATTTATTCCTAAAAGCAAAACAATTTGCCTTTAGGGGCAGCTGCAGAGAAATGGGGTACAGTAGTAGATTTTATAAGGGCACTTTGTCTAGGATGTGGAAGTGTCTACATGCTGATTCTATGGTGACACTTGAGGTGTGTGTGTGTGTGTGTGTGTGTGTATGTAGGTATGTTTATTCTTGTGAACATGCACAAACTCTGTTTGTGTTTACAGATCTTATCCTTTGATATGTGGACTAGGTCTGGGTAAATTTATTTCGGGGTTTGAGTAAGTTTGCTAATTTAATTAACTTGGAGACACTGATTCTCAGACCATTGTGGAGTCTGTTAATATTTTAAGAGAAGATGGAAACAGTATAAAGAATAAAATATATTTGAATATAAAACTTTTCACAACCTAAAATAGCCTTTCTTGGCAGGTGAAATGTTTGGTTGCGACCAGTGGTGGGATTCAGCCAGTTCGCACCACTTCGGCAGAATTGGTAGCTACTTTTTTGTTGCCCAGGCCCAGAATGGACTTCCAGAAGCAGCATCCACACAGAGAACCGGTTGTTCACATATTTGAATCCCATCACTGGTTGCGACCTATCTGGATTGTTTGGGTCTCATGTCAAAAGTAATAATTATCATGCTATTTTGGAAGCCTGCTCAACAGGCCTTAATTACTTTTTTATGTCTGTGCACAAATTAAATCCTAGATTGTTAATTCATTGCTAATTATTCCAGGAAGCTTCATCTTGTGTATTTGGTTGAAATATGCAAATGTTTTCATCAAGTCTTTGCTCATTTTAATTTACTGACCTAATTTATAAATATTAGAATAATACAATATTTTACTTTTATATATTTAATATATGTGAAGTATAGACCATGATTAGTCCTTGTATCTATATTGTCCAGAAAGTTTGATTTCATAATATTAGTATTGGTATTTTGTTTAGTTTTATCATGTCCCTTTCAATTGACTCCCCACTTCTGTATAATGGGGACATCTGAAACATGATACATACTTCATGAACTTTGGTTCCCCAAGTATCTGAAATCTACACACATTGTGCATTTTTCCCCTTTGGATCAGAGGTATTGTCTAACTGGTTTTGTCTAGTTGAATTGTTTTGCTATACTTTTTGAGAATTTATTTATTCATTAATTTTTTATACTGCCCTCCCCTATAAGGTAATTCTGGGTGGTAAATGTCAGAATTAGATGTTAGATTTTTTGTTAGCACTTTAGTCTTTTCTCTGTTTATTTTCAACCCTGCCACTTCTCCAAATTTTTCTATTTTCTTCTTAAGTTTAGTGCTTGTTTCAAGCGGATCTTCCAATATAAAAACCAAGTCATATGGAAATGCTTGTAGTTTATATTTTTCATCTTTTATCTCCAGTCCTTTAATTTCTATATCTTGTCTGATGTTTTTATTCAATATTTCCAGTGTTAGTATAAATAATAATGGAGATAGTGGGCATCCCTGTCTTGTGCCTTTTTTAATGTTAAAGTTTTCTGTAAAATCTCCATTTACTATTATTTTGGCTGTTTGTTTAGAATAATTTTTTAAATTACATTTATAAAGTTTTCTCCAAAATCCATTTCCGTTAGTTGCTGAAGCATAAATTGCCAGTTTACATTGTCAAACGCTTTCTGTTCATCAAGAAATATTAAAGCCATCTGTTTCCCTGGATGAATTTCATAGTACTCTAACACATCAAGAATCATTCTTAAATTATTTTTATCTGTCTTTTAGGTAGAAAACCATTTTGGTCTGTATGTATAAATTTGGTCAAAAATTTATTTAGTCTTTCTGCTATTATTGAGGCAAAAATTTTATAATTACATTTAATAACAATATTGGTCTATAGTTATTTATTTGCGTTAGATCAGAGTCTTCTTTGGGTATTAAGGTAATATTAGCTTCAGTCCATGTATTTGGTATTTTAGCCTCCAAAAGTATTTCATTACACAGTTCTTTCAATATAGGACTTAGTATCTCTTGTAATGATTTATAAAGCTCTGCAGGTAATCCATCTGGACCTGGAGTCTTATCATTTTTTTTGCCTTTTTATAGCCTCTGTAATCGCCATCATTGACATTTTTCCATTTAATGTATCTTGAATATTCTCTGAAATTTTTGGTAAGTCTGCTTTTTTAAAATACTGCTGTATTTTTTCTTTTGAAATTTCCTCTGCATTGTAAAGTATCTCATAATAGTCTTTGATATTTTTTTTTATTGTATCATTTTGAAACTGTAATTCACCTTTTGAATCTTGCAGCTTATTTATCAGTTTTTTCTTTTTTTTTCTTTTTACAATTTATGTGCTAACCATCTCCCTGGTTTGTTGGTATTTTCAAAAAAGTTCTTTTTAGCCCTTTTAATCTGTTGAGCCAATATTTCTGTCTCAGCTACATTTAATTTGTGTTTTATTATCTCCATTTGTTTCTTAAGTATTTTCTTTTGTGGGTCTATTTGTAATTCTGATTCTAACTTTCTGAATTCTTCCTTCAACTGTAACTGTTGTTGTTTCTTTTCTTTATTCTTTTTAGCGGTGTAGGTTATAGCCAACCCTCTAAAATATGCTTTAGCCATATCCCACACATTTTGAAATGTCTCTTCTTTCTTGTTTATTATGGAAAAAAATCCATTTCCTTTGTCACTAGTTGTATAAATTCTTTTTCTTTCAATATAGATTTGTTCAAGGACCATCTTAATTTTTTCTTGGTTCCTCTCCAAGTCATCTTTATTGGGTTATGATCTGTCCAAACATTAATTTCTATCTCAATTTCATCATATTAAGTTCCAAGGATGTCCATATCATATCAATTCTAAACCATGATTTATGTCTATTTGAGTAAAATGTATATTGTAATTTCTTTGGATTTTTTTCTCTCCATATATCTTGGATACAGAGTTCTTCTGTCATTTTAAAAAATGCTTTAGGTAATATATTTCCTCCTGTCCTCCCTTGTTTAGCGCTTTTATAGTCCAAAGTTCCATCCGTTATTGCATTGAAGTCTCCCATTATACAGAGACTTTGATAGTTTAATTATAATATTTTAATGTAATTTTGGTAAAATCATTTGGTGCATATATTGCTACCATCAGTTTTGGTCCATCATTATTTCCACCATTAATATTCTCCCCTTTTCCTCCGCATAAATTTGTTTAGGGTTCATCGTTTCTTTAATGTATAGAGCTATTCCTCTTTTCTTTTGAAGTGCTAATGCAAAGTGAAGTTTACCAATTTTTAGTTGTTCTAACAACTTATAGTGTTGTCTCCTAATATGTGTTTCTTGGAGACAAATTATAGCCATTTTTAATTTTTGTAGTCGTCTAAAGGATTTTTTCCTTTTTGACTAAATTTAGTCAATTTACAGTATATTCATTGACAAAATCCCACTTTCCTTCTCCATCTCTTTCAATTATATCTAGGTCTTAACATTCTAGTCGATCTTATCTGTCTCTGATCTCTTGGTCTTGCTCCGTATGTGTTTTTAACTTATTCCTCCTCTCTTGGTTTGACTGCTCCTTCTACTGCCATTTCTTCCTGTTTCTTTGTTTCTATCTTTGTACCAGATTCAAAATCACCTCCTTCCAGAAATGGTCTATGGTTGTCGTAGAATTGCATTGCTTTAGGTGGTGTATCCAATCTATATCTTTTCATATCCCAATAGATTAAAATCCCTTCTGGAATCAGCCATCTGAAATTCACTCCTAGTCTTCTAGTTCTCCATTTATTTGCATCAATTTTCATCTTTTAAGACTTCTAATGGTCAACCTCAGTTGACTTATCTTCCATTTTTTGGATTCTTTGTTGGTTATCTGTAACCATCTGTTTAAAATTTTCAAATTGAGAGTCCATGTTATTAATTTTTTTATTCATTTTATCAAGATCACTTTTCATCTCCTCGTGGTTTCTCGTTGTAGCTGCCATGTGAGTAGCGATTGCCTCTTGAATTGCTTGTAACATCACTTGAGTTTCCTTTTGGAAGTTATCAGCCTTTTATTGTTGGAGCATTGTATCAATTGATCTCTGATAAACTGGACTTGCAGAAGCAGAAGATGGAGCAGAGGTTCCTTTTTTTCCAACTTTAGATAGATTACGGATGCTCATCTTTATCTTTTAATCATACTTTATAATCCACCAAGTAAATCAGAATTTGTAATCGAATAGGCTCCTAACAAATGTTGTTGTTGTTGTTAGTTGCGAAGTCATGTCCGACCCATCATGACATCATGGACAACGTTCCTCCAGGCCTTCCTGTCCTCTACCATCTTCTGGAGTTCATTTAAGCTCACGCCTACTGCTTTAGTGACTCCATCCAGCTACCTCATTCTTTGTTGTCCCCTTCTTTTATTGCGCTCAATCTTTCCCAGCATTAGGCTCTTCTCCAGTGAGCCTAACAAATGGGAGAGGTAAATAATAAAAAATAATAAGTAATAAAAAAGAACAAAGAAAAACAGGAAAAAAGGAAAAAAAATACCAAAATTTGTAATCCAAAGTGTTCTGTTACTAGAAATTTCTTGTTATTCACTCTATCAAAACAGCTTGTAAAAATTCCAAGTCAAGCTGTATTTGTAATCCAGGAAAGTCAGATGACTTCAAAAACAATTTTTATTTATAATTGTAATCCATCCTGTAGAAAAGGGCAATCCAAAAAGAGTCTTTTTTTTTTCCAGACACAATCTTCAGGACTATAGATTCCAAGGACACCAAAAAGTTTAAACTATAAGCTGTATCTGGGCATCTAGCCAAATTTTAGAGCTCCAGTCAAAACAACTTAGTAAGATAAAAAAAAAAAGCAAGGTTAAATGTAGTTCTCAGTTTTGCCACTAGATGTCATTAGATGTCCATTCCCACCAAACTTTAAAAAATTAAAAAGTTAAAATCCGATGGTTTCCAAACAAGGAATAAAAAAAAAAGATTTATGAATGCAAAAGTTTCCCAAATTATCCTTCTTTTATCCCTCAATTGTCTTCACAATATTGTTATAAGTCAATTTTAATTTCCCCAAAGCTTATAGTTCAGGAGGGAGGGGTGGAGAAAAAAATCCCCCCTCCCTAAAGCTTGGGGATTTCTTTCTTTTGGATGTTTTTTTCCAGAACCAGTATTTTTCACTTGTAGTAAGGAAAGTAGTCTCACCCGGATCAGCTGTTTTGCTTTCCGCTTGTTAGTATCCAATGTCTCCGACGATCAGCAGCTTCTGGCTGACCACATGGGTGCGGTCAGCCTTTCTTCCTGCCCGTCCTGAGAGCTA